TTAAATTAATCTAAAGTATTAAGGGATCTCATTGCAAGAGATTTTATTTATTTGATTAGCAAATTGTTCTTATCTTTTTTTTAAGCATGCATTGACAACTGAAAGGGTAGTCATTAACAACTTAAGGTATAATGATTAATAACTATTATGACAGATATTGACAACTCATATATTATATTTTTGTGACTTGCAGAGAAAATGTGTTATTAATACTTGCTGCGATAGTTGTTAATCGTTACATCTTGAGTTGTTAACAATTGCTCTTTCAATTGTCAATGCATACTTAAAAAAATAAGGACAATTTGGTAATTGAACAAATAAAATATCTTATAATGAGGTCATTTGAGACTTCAGATTAATTTGATAATTTTAAATGATCTTTTTATATTTAATTCTTTTAGATAACACCTTATTACAATTTTTCTAATGTTTTATCAACGTTCAAGTTAAAAGTACTAAAACTATATAGGACCATTATTGTCACACCTCTCTTTATAACCCATAATATGGCAACTAGAACCATTATAACGTGTTTCGCAGCGTTTCCGGATGAAAAATTTGAAATTTAGGATTTTACTGTTCATCCTATCAGTACACTGTTCATCCGAAATAAGCTAATTTTGAAAATTCATAACTAAATCTAGAAAAATCAAAACGATGTGGTTTCAATTTTTATGCAAAGCTTGCTAAGAGTTCTATGGAGGAAAAATAGCCATTAGGTCCAATTCCATCCAGAATAATTCCAGAAAATTTGTCAAATTATACTGTTCATTTCGTAAATTTTTGAATTTCTAGTATTTTTGCCCAACTTTGGAAGGGCATAACTCTTAGCACACAACTCCAAATTTAATGAATTACTACATGTTTTAAAGCTAAAAATGAGATCTATTTTCCTGTAAAATTTCATGCCCAAATTTCAACAATTGCCTATTATTTTATGTGCCACAAGTTTGGTACTTTTTAGGGAATTTCTATCCCCTAATGTCACTTTCTTTAATTTATCTCCCATTTTCTTCTTTCCTACACTCCTTTAACATTGCACCATCCATAATTTTAGCATAAGGGCATGTCATACAAGCATAATTTACATCACATATCATTCATAATCCATTACATTTTCAACATAAAGTTCATTAATATATTACACAACATAACATAATAGCATCACTTCCATAATGCTCCTCTATTCCAAAATCATTTCCTTGCCCTTGCCATCGGATGAATCATTCCCTATTTGAGACATAATTTAACATAGGGAGAATGAGATTTCAAAGAAATCCCAGTAGCATATGAATTATAATGATCATGTAAATCAAACAAGTTAAAATGCGACATGTTGTATAACTTCAAGACATTCTCAAGCCACATAAAATTATATCCAATATCATGCTAAGAGAGGAACATCACCACTTCCACATTAACACAATTCAATGCATTTGGCCAAAGTATAAATCAATGTCATCCAATCCACAAAGATCACAACACAAGTTCCTTAATTCATGCAACAAACATAATCACATTAAACAAGCAAGATAAACAATCAAATTATAATTCAAAGCTACCTTTGTAAAGCTTGTCCAATTAATTCCTCCAAGGAGCAATGCTTCTCCTTAATTCCTCCTCTCAATGCCTATTAAACCAAGCATAAACATAGGCCATATTAATCACAAAACAACTTAATTCCAATACTTGAACATTAACTCAACAATTTTCCCCCTTTTTCCTTGATTTTTAACAATATGATTCCTCCTTTAGAATCAATCATCTCATGGCTCAATCCTACATAATTTTTCATGAGGAATCCAATGGTGAAATCAGATTTTAAAAATTCATACTCCTTCCCCATGAAGATCACTTGGCCAAATAGGGGGTTCTTAACTTCCAAAAATTCCATTTTTGATTCCAATGATTTTAAACACTTTCCAACAACATATCCCTACACAAAAACATGTTTTAAAGCCATTGGAATCATCAAATCAAGCAAAATCAAATTGCTTCTGCATGAACAGTGCTGGATGAAAATTTCCCTTTGAACCCTAACCTTGATTTCATCCAAAAATCAATCCATACACCACTTAATCTTCCTTATTCCACTTGATTATTAAGGTTTCTATCCTTCCCTAAGCATCACACATCTCAACCAAATTTCTCAGAATTTGTTAGCATTTTCCCAACCAAAAATCCTTGTTTAATCAATGTAAAACTTAGAGATATTGATTCTTGGACATACCTTAGTGTTTCCTTGAAGTAAGTTGGATGATTTCTTACCTAAAACTCCTCAAGAATTTCGTGTAAAATGGCTGGATGAACAGTGGTAGAGTTTCCTCTTAGTTTTCCCAATTTTCTAACATTTTCTTTGTATTTTTAAGGGTATTTATAGAAAAATTCCATCTGCCCTCTTGCCCCCTGATTTAGACGAAATTAGACACCTAAGGAGGTGTATGTGGCAGCCATCAAGTGTCTCAAACCTTTAGATCTCACCATGTGGCATTTCTCTAGATTTTTCCACACAAATATCCTTTAATTTTGCATTTTATTTAATAAAAATAGAGGAACCTGGAAGGTGCACGAAATTGGGCCTTTAATAGGTCCACTGTGGGACCCACAAATGGTTTGGGCTGGCCCACAAACCAAATCACTATCTCAAACCAATTGGAAACTTTATCGGTTACTATTTACTAGTAACATTCTATAATTTTTTCAGACCTCCAAAAATTCATTTCTCTCCATGATAATTCACCTTTTAATATGAAAATATTATCTGGAAATTTTCATAATTTTTGGTCACCTCTAGGTATTTATTTTGAATTTTCTCTGATTAGGCCTTTATCGGTAAATCTGAGGGAAAATAAATCTCCTAAAATTAATTCCTGATCTTTCAAGACCTAAAATCAATTTTATAAATTTAAATAAACATTTATATGAATTTTTCATCAATCTCCCAAATTTATTGAGGCCTCTAACTCATTAAAATAATTATTTTCCTTCAATTTCCTAATAATTTCCCGAAAAACCTCCGTTTATGGGAAATTCCATAATAGTTCATTTTCACCGAAATTCCATCTTTCAGGCCTCAACCAAGTTTCCAAAACCTTTACTCTACACTTTTCCCATTTTTTTGGGAATTTTCTAGAATCGGAGGTAGTGTATGATAGAGTCGTTAGAAGAACCTTAAGCTAAACCTAAGCCATGTGCTATAAAATTTGTTTTCAGCTTATTTTGATCACTATAAAAAGATTGACTTTTAGTGACGACTAAAAGCCAAAAAGTCATCATTGAAAGTTTTCAGCAGTGATAGTCAAATCATTATTGTAGCAACTATCACTGAAACTTATTAGTGGCGATAAAAAGAGTTGCTATACTGAAAGACCCTTTTGTGTCGTAGTTGAAAATGTCACAAGAGAAAATAGGACCACTGTCAGCCATCGCCACATCATCACTTGCTGGCAATCAACTGTCACCACCTCATCGTTGGCTGCCAGATGTCACCACGTCACTTGCCACTTTGCCTATGCCACGTGTCCACACCTTGACGCACCACGTCATCAACTGGATATTATCACCATAAATATGGTCCTTCCATGGTTTGAACTTCTAAGCTTCTCCTTTTGCATCCCTTCGTTTTGTCATTGAGTTGGAATGAAGTTGGTGATTATTATTGTAAAATCAAATAATAATAATAATAATAATAATAATAATATATAATAAATAGACTTTCCGCGGTGATAAAAAGTTGCCATTGAATCTACTTTTAGCGGCGACTAAAAATGCTGCTGCTAAAGACCATTAAATTAAATATTGTTAAATAATAATAGTATTATTAGATAATTATATTTAATTTTCTTATTTGATTAAAATATTTATTTATAATATCCAATTTGTATAAGAAAATATAATTCATACAATATTATTTTTTATATTTTTTATTTCTTATTATTTAAGCCATTATATTATTTATTTTAATATTTATATTTATAATTATGAAATGTGAAAATAGTATATATATAATAGATAATGAAATTTTATTATGATTATTTAACTCTATCACACGCACACAATTATAATATCTCACCTTCAATTCATACACACACTTATTCCTTCCTCCTTCCCTCTCACTCTCACACATACCATATTATCTCTCTAACCTTCTCTTTCTCTCTCTCTCTCGACATAACAATATGTAAAAATACTTTATTTTGTCATAACAAATCACATTAATGAACAAACTTATTGTCTAAATATAATTTTTTTATAAAAGAACTTAAAATAATAATAAGAAGTTAAAATAAACTTTCAATGGCAACAAAAAGTCACCACTGAAACCGCCGTTTAGCGATGACCAAAAATGTCACTGGTGAAAGGTGCTTTTAGTGGTGGCATGTTGAGTTGCGCTAAAAGCTTCTTTTAGCGGCAACAATAACTATCGCCACTAAATTCCTTTTCAATTGCGATATTAGAAATCACCACTAAAAGTATCACTTTTGAAAATTGACTTTTAGTGGTGACTCTAAAACTAAAAAGTTGCCAATAAAAGTACACTTTCAATGATGACATTTATGATCACCACTAAAAATAAGATTTTTAGGGCGACTCTTAATGTCGCCACTGAAAGTCATCACTGAATAACTTTCTCTTTATAGTGGATATATATATGTGTATATGTACATACACTCATCAAAGTATGCTGAAAATATAATTTTCTTCCCAATATTTAGTTTAAAGTTCTCTCAACATAAGTATCCCCCATTTAGTTTAATTTTATTGATGGTATTTATGCTTAGCATGAAATAATAAATTGTCTTTTCACTATGACATTGATATTAGCCTCCCTAATAATAGAAATTTCCACCACGTACAATTTGACATTCACAATCATATTTTATTAATATATAAATCTACGCGTGTGTAGACACACACACGCATATATAAGAGCGATTGGCTAGTGTTTATAATAAACCAAATTTTTTTTAATTGCAGATCAGAAAGAGAGGGTGAGAGAGATCAAAATGTGGAGGCTGAAGATAGGAGAGGGAGGGAAAGATCCTTATATATTTAGTACAAACAACTTTAGTGGAAGGCAAATATGGGAGTTTCATGCTGATGAAGGAATTCCAGAAGAACAAGCTGAAGTTGAAGCTGCTCGTCAAAACTTCTACAACAATCGATTCAACCTTAAGCCCTGTGGAGACCTTCTATGGCGTTTTCAGGTCTCTCTCTTCCATTTCTTCTTCACTTTTTACGTCCACATATGTTCTATCTCGAGCATCTATATGATGAATACATACTCATCATTATGTACTCCCTGCTCTTTCTAATATAAGAGTTACTTAGAGGATTAAATTTGGTTATAAATATAATATCTTAATTTACTTTGTCACTCAAATCTATAATTTTTTTTCTCCATAATATATATATTGATAGCAAGGAGTTCTCATCAAGGGGTAGTTTTGATGCATATAACTAAGAGAGTAGTTTAAGAAAATAAATATATATTTGATACAAATAACCAACTTAACTAATTTTCTTAATCATTTTTAGTTATCTAATCATATATACATATTAAAGACCAAAGGTAGTATGTATGCATGCCATTGATAGTTTTTTCAGACAAAAGTTTTTACGCATTTTATCTATGACGTTTCTATTCCCCCCCCCCCCCTCACTCTTTCACTTCTTGGACTCTCTTCTCTTTAACACTCAGCTCCTGTCTTTAATATAAAATGTCTTGTAAAAGGTTTTTATGATCCTAATTTTGTGAAAAGTCAATTATATTAGATTCCTCTTGTCCTCAAGAATACTCTTATTAAAATACCACTTTGATTTTATTTTATTTATATGTTATCTTTAGCATATTTCAATGAAACAAGTGAAAAACTATGAAACCTATCTGAAAAATTAAGTTTCCAACTTTTTACCACTATTAGTTATTATACACATTTTCATATGCACTTGTATTTGCATATTTTGATTTCGATTATTTCCTCAATCAAAGCAGCCACTTTCATGCATTAATTATTTGCTATAATCGCTTAAACCTCAAGGCGAAGGTACGCTATTTTGTTCACGTAATTATCAATAAATCTTTTCATGTACGTACCTAGCTAGCTTTCCATGGCATTTCGGGGGCTCTTTCCTTCATTTGTTCCAAGAGTCGTACAAGTACTGTTTTCTCTTAGGTTAATAACTCTCTAACTGTTCTCTCTTTCTTTTTTAACGTGTATTCTTCTACTTTACTTGTATAGTTATATATTTTGATTTTGATTTCCTCTCCAAATAAGTATCACAACATTGTAGATTACGTACGCTAACGAAACAGCCAATTCCGTGAACTAATTATATATTTGGCAAATCGAGCTGATGCATTGACAAATATTGTATTTCCGCCTTGTACTACCTCCTCCAGTCTCAAATAAAAACTAGTTAAGGGTTGAGTTTGATAAATATTGTTTCCCGTGATTAGTTTTTTAAAATTATTTCTATTGGTTGCACATATTAAGATTGTTTGAATTGAGGAGTATAGTTTCACTGTTTTCCTGAGTCATACTGGTTTGCTTCTTCCCAGAGTTAGTTGCTTGCTTGCTCGGATAGGCCAAGAAGCCGGGTCATCAGTTTTTGAGTCAACCTGGCCAGTCAGAGTTTTCAGACATTCCTAAATATAATATCTCAATTTATTTTGCTCCCCATAATTATTATTATTTTTCCTAAACTATCCTAATTGATTGCACATGATAAGAGAGTTTGTATGAATATAGTTTCAATGCAAATAATTTAAAAAGGTATTCGAGAGTAAACAAAATATATTTTTTACAAATAATTAATTTAACTAGTTTTTTTAATCTATCCAACTTAATTAAGTAGATATTATATTAAGTACATGAAATAGTACTTTAATTTGTTACTCTCTCTCTCTCTATATATATATTAACTATTAATGGTGATTGACTTTATGCAGTTCTTGAGGGAAAAGAATTTTAAGCAAACGATACCAAGGGTGAAGATAGAGAAAGGAGAGGAAATAAGTGATGAAAAGGTTGGTAACACTGTGAGAAGGGCAAGTCATTATCTAAGTGCATTGCAGTCAAAAGATGGTCACTGGCCTGCTCAAATTGCTGGATGTCTCTATTTCATGCAACCTCTGGTATATATACCCATCATGTACACGCATATGCATATTTTACTGTGCTATAAGAAATACAACAAATAGGTCTTTGGAGTTAGAAGTCTTATTTATAAAATTTACATAAATGATGTATGAAATTTTAATTTTTTTTAAAGTTTTGTTCTCATTAATAACCTCTTACATTATTGTATTAATTTTTTACCTGTTTTTTTCACTCTTCACAAATAATAAGATTTTTTTAAAAGAATATATTTTTTTACACACACATTGCATTTATCCGGTTTTAACTGATTTTTTAATTTACATGATCCCATTATTTGTATTCTATATTCATAACCAAAGGGAGTATAGAAGTACAATGCTATAAAAATTTAAAAGGAAAAAAAAAAAAAAGCACGGGACTGGGGTCCACATCTTAGTGGGCCCACCAATAGCAAATGTCTTTCTTCCTTTCTCCTTAGATAATCATACTATTGTAATAAAGAATCAGCATAATTTCCACGCTAATCACAATTCTATAATACTTTGGATTCTAGAAATTTTAGAAGGTGCGCGCGCGCGCATGGGTGTGCTATATATGTATTGTAATAAGAATAAAGAATTATCAAATTTATGTCACAAGTTCCAATTAATCCTACTTCATTTTCATATTAAATAAATATTAAACGAGATCAAATGGGCATCAATGGTACAGGTATTTTGCATGTATATTACTGGTCATCTTGATGCTGTGTTCCCGGAAGAATATCGTAAAGAAATCCTTCGATACCTATATAATCACCAGGTATATATGACATATATACATAGTTAAGCATCAAAACCTGCTTTATTGTATCGGTCATATGTTACGGTTTTAAGTTTTCATGTGTGTGTGTGTGTGTTTTAAAAGAATGAGGATGGAGGGTGGGGCCTACACATAGAGGGACACAGTACCATGTTCTGTACTGCTCTGAGTTATATATGCATGCGAATGCTTGGAGAAGGACCCAACGGAGGCAAAGACAATGCTTGTTTCAGAGCTCAAAAATGGATTCTTGATCATGGTGGTGCCACCTACATACCCTCTTGGGGAAAGACTTGGCTCTCAGTACGTTCTATTTTGTTCATTCCCTCCATGTTTGGTTTTATGCATGTATATATATACGTACGTACGTATGTAGGCATGTATGTAGGTACGTCTCATATATATGTTGTTGTAGATACTTGGATTGTTTGAGTGGAGTGGAACAAATCCAATGCCACCAGAGTTCTGGCTCCTTCCACCGTTCCTTCCTATGCATCCAGGTATGTAATTCAATGGTGGACATACATTTCTAATATCAATTTTAGATTTGGAGGTTTAATCGTGTTTTAATTTCATGTGATATCTACTATCTCTGGTACTAAATATAAGAACTTAATCATTCTGTCTCCTAAATTTATAATGTATTTTCAAAAACTTTCTTGTTAATTGTAAAGTATTTCTATGTAAGTGTATTTTCAATATACATGATTGAATAAGGGCAATTTAAGGAAGTCAACACACATTTGTTGCAAATAACTAAAATTTTTTAATCTCCTAAAACTAGTTAGCTAATTCTTATATTAAAGATCAGAGATAGAGTCCCTTAATTTTCTGTTGATATTTTCTATTCATCATTTTAATTTTATTATATTGTAATTTTTCATGCTATATATGGTTTTTTGCTTTCTAATCATTAGAGGTTTTTGTGAGTCAGTCCAAAGATATATGATAAGATCTTATATATATATATATATATATATATATATTGTGCGACTAAAAAACTAATCATAACTCTATAAGTGGACGTGGCGAGTGCCACCAAAGGTAAGTTAAGTTATTTCAGTGTAAGTGACAATTAGTGTGTTAAAGTTAAAAAACTTCAATACTAATTCTATTGCATTATCTAATAATAATATCTTCCACGATATTGTAATTAATGCAGCTAAAATGTGGTGTTATTGCCGCTTGGTTTACATGCCTATGTCGTATTTGTATGGGAAAAGGTTTGTGGGTCCCATCACACCTCTTATTCTTCAGCTCAGACAAGAACTCTACCTTCAACCTTACCATCAAATTCATTGGAATGAAGCTCGTCGCCTTTGTGCAAAGGTGAGTTTAATTTTACTTTAGTCTCTGATAATTCATCCCTATATATATATATATTGACACAAACAAGTTAGCTTGTTGATTTCTCCTAATTAAGGAACAATAAATTGTATATCACGGATAATTAATGTCGAATATATATATCATTACAGGAAGATCTTTACTATCCACATCCCTTGATACAAGATTTGATATGGGATAGTTTATATACATTCACTGAGCCACTTCTTACTCGTTGGCCCTTCAATAAGTTGGTAAGAAAGAAAGCTCTTCAAGTAACAATAAAGCATATTCACTATGAAGATGAAACTAGTCGATACATAACTATTGGCGGCGTTGAAAAGGTAATATTAATTACGATGACTCAATTAATGCCAAGCACTTTGATATGATTATTGCTTGTGGCGTGAACATGCTTTTAATTAATCAGTATTTAATTTCCCTTTTACGTCATTTGCCACAGGTTTTGTGTATGCTAGCTTGTTGGGTTGAAGATCCGAATGGAGATGCCTTTAAGAAGCATCTTGCTAGGATTCCTGATTACATATGGGTTTCTGAAGATGGAATTACCATGCAGGTAAACAAATTATTGGCTCATATATATCTTCAAGTTTATTATTTTAGCAAGACTAATTTATTTAGTGAAAATAAATATGGAAAATTCCAAAAAAAAAATGCCTCTTAGATTTCAAAATTCCAAATCAATCTTATTTACTGCACTTTAATGGTAATTAATTATATTAGAAAAGCAGATGACACCACATTTTTATAATAATTCCTGATTTAGGATTTTCAAATTTTAGAGGTATTTTTTAGGTTTTTTCCATGAAATATTTTGGGTTTAATCCATATATGCTATTAACTATCTGCAGAGTTTTGGAAGCCAACAATGGGATGCTGGTTTTGCTGTGCAAGCTTTACTTGCCACAAACCAAACTGGCGAAATTGCTTTTACTCTTGCAAGAGGGCATGACTTCATAAAGAAATCTCAGGTCAACTTTTCATTCTTATTAATTAAGAAACATTAATTGATTGGCTTGTAATTATATGAGAGTTTTTTTTTAAAATTTTTTTATGTGATGTTTTTTTTGGCATCTTATATATGATCATTTTTAAATGCTTTTGCAATAATATCTAAAAGAATAGATGTGAGTCCAATGCCGCATTGCGTAAGATTTAAGGAATGAGCCAACATTTATGGCTTATAAACAATGTGACTTACTATATTTTAAGAAAAATTACTTATTAATTTATATAGTTTTTACATAATTGTAGCTCAAACTCTAATGTTTAACTTCTTCAACTCAACCCCCAAGTTTTAGCTATTCAATTTTTTATTCACACTTTTTAAAAATCATCTGATCTTTCTGGAACTAATTAAGTTGTAATGGACAAACGGATTAAATAGCTCAAATTTGACAAATTAAGTCGCATCAAGTTAGACTCTAACAATTTGAGTTATAACCAAGACAAAATTACGAGGACTAAATAATTAATTTTCATATTTTATATCATACCAACTACACAGAAAGGAATGTGTAACAAAAAAAAGGGACAAATTTTCACAAATCCATTATTGCGACTATTTTGTAATCTGCAGTAGATTTTGAGAGAAATTTCATGAATTGAACAAATTTGAGATGGATTATACTTGATATATTAGCGACGAAACGCCAATCTGCTACAAATTAAATCTCATTTTCTTTATTTCTCCCCTAAGTAATTGATATTGATTATGATGATCTTATTAGGTTAAGGACAACCCTTTGGGTGACTTTAAAAGTATGTATCGTCACATTACAAAAGGGGCATGGACCTTCTCTGATCAGGACCATGGATGGCAAGTTTCTGATTGTACTGCAGAGGCTTTGAAGGTTAATAACTTGCCATACATTTTTTTTTGGTCAAAAAATAACTTGCTATACTTAAACAACTCACTTTGGTTGTTCCTCTTCACCTTTTATGATGTTTCCTTTTGATTGTTATATGCTTTGGTCTATTTTAGTGTTGTCTTCTTTTGTCAATGCTACCACAAGAGATTGTGGGTGAAACTATGGAAGTAGAAAGGCTTTATGATTCCATTAATCTTCTTTTGTCACTTCAGGCAAGTATTTCACATTACAATTATATATGTTTTTTCCCCTTTGTGCATTGATTCATTATATAAACTTTAAAATTCATATATTTACAGAGCAAAAATGGTGGATTTGCAGCATGGGAACCAGTGAAAGGTCAAGATTGGTTAGAAGTAAGAATCATGTCATTTGAATTAGAACTTATGTGAACAAAATAAAATACTACCTCTAGTCCTAAATGTTGAGGTTGGTTGAGGGATTTATTTTGTTCATAAATGTAAGACTCTAATCTATTTTATCTCACAAATTTAAAACTCTTTACAAATAATTAACTAAACTATTTTTCTTAATATTTATTAATTAGTTGTATATTTAACTCCTACGTTTAGGATTGGAGGGAGTAATATAGTTGGCAATAATTTGATTAGTTTGTTTTTGGGATCAGGTGCTAAATCCTACGGAATTCTTTCAAGACATCGTGGTGGAACATGAATATGTAGAATGCACTGGATCAACAATTCAAGCTTTGGTTTTATTCTCAATGCTATATCCAGGGCATAGAACAAGGGAGATTGAGAATTGTATTGAGAAAGCTGTGAAATTCCTTGAAGATACACAAACTGAGGATGGTGGATGGTATGGGAAATGGGGCGTTTGCTTCACTTATGGCACTTGGTTTGCATTAGGTGGCCTTGCTGCTGCTGGTAAGACTTACAATAATTGTCTTGCCATTCGCAAAGCTGTGAACTTTCTTCTCACATCGCAAAGGGATGATGGTGGGTGGGGTGAGAGCTATCTTTCATGTCCGAAAAAGGTACATAAATATAATTTAATTATCAATATAATATATAAAATGAGAACAATCAATATTAATTTTAGTCCCTAGGTTTTGACTCTGTTGTTAATTAATCCTTAAAAATTCATTTTATACAACTCAATGTTTATATAGTCTGACTCAGCTAAACTTGATCCCTAAACTTTAACTCAGTTCCAATAGTTTTAACAATTTGAAATCTTAATCCCTAGAATTCATGACATATATAATTTTATATTCTAAAATATAGGGACTGATTTTTTAAATAGTAAATTATAGGAATTAAGTTACATTGAGTCAAAATTATGAATTAAGTTACAACCAAGTCAAAACGATAATAACTAAGTTGTACCGTATCAAATTTTAAGGGGAAAAAAATTACAATTGACCTACAACTATAATAATAAAAATATTAATTTTTCCTTTAAAATTTATAACCAGTTACTTGGTAGGAGAAATAGGAGAGAAACATGTTTAGCTATTTTATATACTTATAACTGTGTGCCCTTTTAGTTACCTCATCTTATGAATTCTAATAAATGATGCAGAAATATGTTCCCCTTGAAGGTAATAGAACAAATGTGGTACAAACAGCATGGGCTATGATGGGTCTAATATATGCTGGACAGGTTATTCTATTAATTCTTTATTGTGAATAGCAATTTATGTTTATTTGTAATTTTTAAAAATAAAAAATAAACTAAAATCAAATTTTATTGGAAGGTTGAGAGAGATCCATCTCCTCTTCATTGTGGAGCAAGACTCTTAATCAATGCTCAGTTGGAGAGTGGGGATTGGCCACAACAAGTTAGTACCTTCCGGTGACTCATTTAATCTGGAATAATTTTTTAATTAAACTTATGAATCAATCAATGGTAGAATTAAATGTTAATTTGTGACTTATATTTTCAGGAAATCACTGGCGTATTCAACAGGAATTGCATGCTCCATTATCCAATGTACAGAAATGTTTTTCCACTTTGGGCTCTGGCTGAATATCGGAAACGAGTTACATATATAGCTTTCTAAAGTTGAATAAATAATAGCCTAACGTATATGTAACTCATGAACACAAATAATCTCCCTAGCTTTTGAAACTTTATTATGAACTCCTCTAAAGTCTTATATTTATACCAACAATTCCCTTACAACTAGTTTTCTTGATCACTTACAGCTTAAAGTTTAAGCGGGTATATAGTTAATGAATGGGCACTATATGTGCAAATTTGATAGCTCAGGGAAATATTCATTATCAAGTTATAAAGATTAGAGGGGGTTTTTGTTCACAGTCCAAAATTCACAGAGTTTTGTATAATTTAACTTAAATAATATTACCCCCGGTCCTAATTAGAAGACCTCGTTTGTAGTCTACAAACAAGGTCTTATAATTAGAATAAGAGGAAGTAGAAGTTTTTAATCTGATGGTGAGAAGCGAAGTCCAAGCAAGAGGGGCATTATACTTTAATGTGTCTTGATGGAAGCACTCCTATTCCTTTATACATATTCGTTCCTTCCCTGTGCACTAGCCAAAATTTTAGATCAATTATGAGTCCGATCCCTTTGGTAATGAGCATCTAGTTATGATTCTCTTTCTTATGACCAAAAAAGAGTCCTTGTGTCATATTCTAAATTGTAGGTTTATAATTTAAGAAACGAGACTGAGTTAAGTGTGCTATCAAGTCCAATTAAAGAAGCCCCACGAGTGATAAAATGGCCCTCAGGGACAACTCGCAAATTAAAAATATTCTGGGATAGAGTATATATATTTTCAGAGACTTTGGGAAAGCATAAGGGTCAAAATAAAAGGAAATAGGGATTTAAATGTAAAAGACAAAGGTATAATTTAGGGGGAAAAAGATGAAAAGTGTACAAAACCTAAATTATAATTATAAATGTTTAGGGTACTTAAATGCAAATAAATATTATGATATTGTAGAATAATAGGTGATTTAGTGGATATTTTAAATTGAAAAGGACTTATAAGTTATTTTTAAACCCTTAGGAGATATTGAAGAGGATTACATGAATGACAAATTATGCCAAGGTCAAAAGTTTAATTTCTAAAAATTTCAATCTCCAGTGTAATTATGAAAATTCACCCAAAAATGCAACAAAAAAAAAAACATAAATTCAGGGGGGGCGGGGAAGGAAAATGACTTTGTAAATCGGTCTTACCGTTTTCTTCAGTGGTCTAAAAACTCATTTTTCACTTGTCTAGATGACCCACACATTTTTTATTGGTGTCATCTTTCATTTGACAAGAGAAACTCATCATATACACGCCTACCAATGACACAATTAATGAAATAGTTAATTAATATTATATTAATTATATGCATGATTATTCCATTCCATACATGTGCATACCTGAAGGAAAAAACTTAGGTCAAGTTTTATATATTCATTATGTCAAGTTCTCCAATCATATATGACTATGTATCTTTTTTTTTTTTCAATTTTATGTAGATTTATAATTAAATGCTATTAAATACTTAATATTTCAAAAATAAGATACATCATCATATATGATTAAAGAACTTAATATATATATATATATATATATGTAAGTAGTGCACATATCTGAATGATTGTTCAACCACAAACATATATATGAATTCATATAAATTTCATGCAACTTGTAATTGTATCCTTGTTTGAGCTTGTTACACGATTTAAGAGCGTTGAAGAAATTGAAAATCTATAATCGGAAAAAGACACCACGATGGTATATTATTTTCTATGTGATGACTTCAAGGAGTATTCATGTGTGGTTTTTAATTTCTTTTATAATTTTTTATGATTTTTTTAATTATATACTTATATATTACCCTGTAAAAATACCATTGTATTCTTATCCTTAGCTATCATTAGTGAATATATAGAGGCTAAAGTATATTTTTAGTTCTTTAAGTTTACACAAGATTTTGGTTTGATCTGTTATCTTTAAAAAGTATATTAAGTCCTTTAACTCAAAGATTGTTAACAAATAATGATGATATTGAGATCTTAAATATTGATAAGACTTTATCAAATGCTAAAATATTGAGTTTAATTTTCAAAAAACCATAATTGTTACAAAAAATCATCATTTAAGACTAATGATTTTAGGATTAAATGATTAAAAATATACTCTTTAAAGTTAGGGGAGTAAAATCAAATTTTTATAAATCAATGGACCTATCCATACACCGCTAGAAAAACCCCTTTTCACACCACCTTATCTTTCCCGATTTTTGCACCAGCGATACAAACGAAGTGGTGACACTTTTGTAAGAAATGATTACAATATTTACACCAGTTATTATAAGAGCAATCGATGTAATCTTTATCATTTCCAGTGGACATTAATGCAACTTATCTTTCAAAACAATGGTTATTATAAACAATCATTGCTTGAACTGAACAAACGAGCCTCTTTCATTTTCTTTCCCCTGAAGTAATGTGTTTGAACTTCAAAGGTCACAATGTCTTGTCACTATCTATTGAAAGTCAGAACTAAACTTTTCTTCCCACCATCGTCATTGTATTCAACTGCTGGCAACCCCAATGGTGAAGTGGCAAAAACCTCTCTTAGTGCATCTTCCATTCCCTCCCCCCCTCCTCACCTCCCTTATTTAACTAGCTACTGACAAAAGTAACTACGATTGAGTGTAGCCTCTACCGCTTGGTCTCTCACTTTTACACCCTTAATAAGAAAGTCAACTTCCTACTTGATGACTGGGACATTCAGTATGACTTTTGGATGACTCTCTTGCTGCCTCCTCCTCCTTCGATGAAAATGTAATCTTTTCTTGTAAAAAAATGTAATCTTTTTTTGTTTTGAAATATTTTGTAAGGGCCTACTTGCCCCAACCTCATATTATATATATATATATATATATATATATGGCTATCTTGTGACCTGATGTGTCCATTTTGTTTTATTTTATGGTCTTTTTTTTTTTTTTGCATTTTACTAATGTTTAACTCTGGTAATAGCGAACTCTAAAACTTTCCTGATGGTAAGAAGCGAACTATTAATTTCCTCGGTTTTGCTTGACTGAAATTTACACCAATTGTGATGAAAACTGATTTAGTAATGAACATTACATGGCTCTATCGTGTCTGATGTAATATGTCAATGTGACACTGATCTTTAGGTATAATTGGGTAAATCTTTTAACCTAGCTATATAAGGGCTCTCCCGCGCTCAATTTCCTGACCTTAAGAAACACTCTTTGCCTGTACTCTCTCCTCTTGAGTTGTGGTGGGACATTGTTGAGTGTTTATGACATCCCTTCTGTTGACGTGCTGTTGTCATCTATCCCTATTTTTGTCATCATTCTATTCTTGTCGTAAGTAACATTGTCATCGTTTTGTTTTTGCCCTAAGCGATTTGTCTAAATCCTAATACTCATGCTCGTTCCATTCGAGATCTTCATCGTCGCCATCAATGTCGTGGGTCTTTGCCATCAATGTCATCAAGTTTTTGTTGTCAATCACATGGGGTATAACACAAAAGCAGGCCTACCTTCACACACACAATATACATGTGTGTGTGTATTGTCTCTTTCCATATTTAGGGTAACGATGAAAATCATGAATTGCAATTTTAATTCTCCAAATCTATTTTTATTTGCATTAAAATCAATTCCAGCATAGCAAACGAGTGGGGAACCTACCCATATATGATCTATGAAGAAATAGATATATTAGTAGTAGTAAACCCTACTTTTACCAACACGGGTTGGAGCAAGTGGTAAAGTGCATGTGTTCCCTTAAATGTCTTTAGTCCTAGTTTCGATCTTTGGGACGACGTGTATAGAGAAAATCTACTCGGAAGGGGCGCACAGTCATTGAATTGCTTGACACCCCAGGGGATTAGTCTCTTGCCTACTAGGGGATACCCTTGGTGCTCGCCCAAAAAAAAAAACTCTACTTTTATGGGAACCATATGTCAAAAATACGAGAGCTATATGCCTACGTGCTATTCTATTTCTCTTTTTGTTTAAGCAAACTTTAGAATCTCCCCACCCCGTTTCATCTTACGATCATATCACCCACCTTACATATATATATTTTATATATTGAGTGCTTATATTGAAATGTACTACTTCAGTCCTTAGTATTAGAGCTAGCTAGAACAACCATTTAATGAAATATTTAATATGTGTAACTACTATAAGGACTACTGTGAGAAAATAAATAAATATGAGAGACAAAGTGGAATAAAGTCTTATATTAAAGACCAAATTAAATATCAAAGTAGTTTTGATATTAATGATCAGAGGTAGTAATGTTAAGAAATACTAGCAAGCCTTTGCAAATATGTGCAGTCATGAAATCACACTCCACCAACTGGTTGCAGCCTTCTCTCAAGTTTGTCCACACAAACAATATAATCTAATCAACAATTGTAATGTCCCAAATTTTGTGAATATAATTAAGACATGATTGAGGAAATATTTTGGAGAAATTTTCAAGATTTAAATCCCTCAAAATATAGCCCAAATAATTATAAAGATAATTTTGGGGATTTAGGACCTACTTTCTTGAAAAATTCAAGAAAATAAGTAGGAGTTGATTTTTCACCCAAAATTTTTAGAGAAATTATTTTATGGGTCAAGAGAGCTATTGGAGAAGGAAAATCCATACTAAACATTATGGAGTAATTTCTGAATTTATCTTATAATTTTAGAAAAAGAGAAAAAGGATGAAACTGAAAACAAGTAAAACATAGAAGTGCAAAATGGTACTTTCCTCACCCCTCACCCTTATATTATGCCATCACACCTTCTCGTGACCCTAGGTATCCTTTACCTACCCACCTATATTGGTTTCGGGTATAGGCACCTTTTTTTTGAAGGTCATTTAAGCTTTTCTTGGGAGTCTGGCATGGGTTACTTCAGCACTATAGTGTGTGGTATCCCTTCTTACCCTTGAAACAACCTTCCTAAATAAATTAATAAATTTAACTTTTTTAGAGAAGTTCAAGAAATATATTTTTTATAACCAAACTATGCTAACAACAAACTCAAATCTATACAATCATATAAAGTAACTTATTATATAATAAGATTATCCGTGATAGAAAAGAGTAGCACTTAATTATCCATCCTCTTACAAATAAAAAAAACTTTTCTTAACTCATTCAAGAGCA